GGATTGTTTTTTAATTATGCTGCCACATAAAGACAAGAAAAGCAGAAAATTAGAAACACGAGAACTTGGTCCATTTGAGTTCTTTTAGTTAAAGCACCTCTAAGCTTTGTGGAAAACACAAGTTAAATACCTCAAAATAAAAACTGAAATATAAATATAAACCCCAGAAATAATGGCATCTACTCGATGCAATTGCAGAAAACAGACTGAAGGAACTGATATTCTTTTCTCCCAGGATGGGTGAACACATTCATCAGTGAAGGCTTGCAACCAATTCAAAATTAAAAGCTCACAATTTACAGTGCTAACTTCTGAATCTCTGCATATCGTTGTTCAGTTCTGGTTTCCCTTCCTTTTTATCTCCCTCTCCATTCCTATAGTTTTCTTTTTTCCAGATATTCCTACTGTTTAATGCACTTTCTAGCTGTGATCAAATCTAAGGCTATGAACAGATGATCATAAATTATTAAATTACAATGGCATGGTTATTTACAGCTTATGTCAAGCGAGTCACATTAACTGTATGAACTCCCAACCTTCACAGCTGTTGATGGAAAACAGTATTTGAAAGCACCTTCATGTTTCAAATTAGTTTAGCATATAAAAATTCAAGAGCTGCAATCTAAAACAAGTACAACAAATAATTTAAAGTTGGTCTCTCTCCCCTTGCTTCTCACCCCATTAAACACAGATGTTTATCGAAAGACAAGCTCACTAACTGCATATTCTCAAAAAAGCCGAAGTAGCCTGTTGAGCAACTGCCTGTAAATGCTTTGGCACTTAAAGCTAGTGTTAACATTTAAAAATCTTCTTAGCTGTCCGAGTGATTAGTCTCCTTAAAGAAACATGTACATATTCTTTTCATGGAAACCCATTTCAATGCAGACACAGCATCTCCAACAAAAATCACTGAAAATTGGCAGCTTTGCTGCTGCTTTTTGTACATGACTATCACTAATCTGCTACAGGTATGTTGGAAGTGTACATCACCTGTTCTCCTTGGCAACCAAGGAACATTTTTTTAACAAGTTTATTTCTCATATACATGCCTCCAGCCTATGCCTGAAGCATTTCTGTAATGTCTAAGCATGGAGTACAGTGAAGAGCAGTGACATCTAAGGATGATTCTAATAAGTTAACTGCAAGGCAGATCAGTGGGACTAGTAAGTAATGAACATCACACTCCTACTGGTTCTGAGAACCAAGCTACTATTTCTTCAAAATGCTCCACAGGGTAGAAGAGGGAGAACCTTTATAATCAAGGATGTCTTTAGACTCAAAACATTTTAGTTACATATCGTTGGCAATTATCATAAAATTTCCTTTTTCTGAAGAGTAAGACCTACAGCTCCATTTACATCACCCTCACTGCAGCTAGGAAACAAGTCAGATGCAGGAATCCCTCCTATCCCACACGTGGAGACCACAGGCACCTTATGCCTGTTCAGTGCAAAGGAGGCAATACCAGCCCACCCACATGATTTATAATGAATGAGAATATTTGCAATGCAGATTCCATCCAACTTAACCAACTTCCATCACGTAAATCTTTGTACTTTCCCTGTCTGAGAAGTCTACAGAGGCAAAAGATTTTTTGCTCAACCCTCATTAGAGGACAACACATTTTGTATTTGGTTTGAGGGTTTGTGGGAGAGCAGAAAGGTTTTTCTTGCCTGATTACCCTTTCAATACTTACAGGTGTACTTCAGGGACAGGCTTAATGTGCTGTCTAATCTGCAGTCCTTTCTTTGTTGCTCAGCATCAGGATCAGCACTGTAGACTAAATTTCCGACAAAACCAACTCAAACTGTCCACAAAACTCCTTCAGCACTGACAGACGGGAACTGACTGCACTGAGCATTTAAAATGATATAACAAAGACCCATCAAATTGCACAAAATAAGATTTTTATTCCAGTATCTTTAAAGCCTTGGGATTGTCAGTTTACATATGGTCTACCTAACAAAAGACAGACCATAATTTTCCTTTCTTTTTGCTCTTCCTTTTTTTTTCCCCCCCCACTTCTTGTGGGAGGGTTAAGCTAGTCTGATGCCATCTCAAAGTTCCCAAGCACCCAGGGCTGAGCTATGACCCACTTATTCCTGGCTGTCTATCAATACCAGGTTTAGTGAGAGAAACAATCTCTCAGATGAAGCAAAAAGCTCCCTTAGTTAGCAATCAGGTTAAATTTATCCTTGTGCTTGGACCCCAAACACCTTCTGGCCTTAAAGAAGGGAAGCTAAGCTAAAGGAAAGCCTTGGCGTACGCATAACCAAACTATTAAATCAGAAGACTCCTTTATTGCTTACCTATCCATCTCCAGCCTGATGTCTCTCTTGTTGCTCTGTGCATGGAGATGGAGACTTACTAATGACCAAGTGTGACAACCCAGGAACTAGGGAATGTGGACTATTATGCCAAATACCACAAGGTCATGGGCAGATGCAGCTTGTAAAAAGCACCCAGCATTTTCCAAGCACAGGGATGTGCCAGACCTTCTTGCTGCAGAGCCTTGCAGTTAGAATGACTACACCTTGGCTAGATCAGCTACAGATCTAGAACAACAGAGCTATGCAGAATATATGGTTGTATAGGTTGGCACCTTCCCTGAAATTCTCAGACAAAAGTACACAGAAGGTAACACTTGGAGTCTGTGACAAACGCAGACTGCCGTGGAGAAGATGAATCCTACATCATCTCTTAGTACTCCCTGGCATTAGCAGTATCTTCTGGTATCTTCACCTGTGATCTGTATGGAAGCATTGGGGTAACAGCTTCACAGTTAGCAATATGGATGTTGGCAGAAACTACAGGGATTTAAGACATTTCCTGCCACCTCCTGTGCTGCCCTTCCCACACTATTCTCTTCATACATGAGGAAGATGTAGCTGTCTGTTCCTGTACAAAACTGCTCTGAGCCAGCCTATCTTCTTCTTACTCAGGTGGAAAGCTGTCACATCTAACAGGGCTGTGAGAAAGAAATCACACTACACTCAAAACCAGACGTATTCCCAAGCAAGCCACGAGATGGTATGGGGACAGTATTTTACTGTTGCTGCTGGGCTTCTGGAGCTCAGCTTTGCTCCTACATTTCACACAGCACCAGCTGCAATCAGTGGTTCTGAAAGGAAGAAGCCACCATTCCCAAAAGGCAGATGCAGTCCTGGGACTCAGCTGAACATACTCAGCCAAAATGCATTGGGACATACAAAGTAAAGCTCTGATTTTTCTTCAGAGAATCCACTCTACAGCTGGGAGGCCTGCATGGCACCTGCTCATTTCAGTTCAGACTGATAAAGCCACAAAAGAAGTCTGTGTGAAGGCAGAGATCTCTCCTGAGGAAAAGAATGACAAGTCTATTTCCATGCTTAAGACTGAAAAACTGCTCAAATTGTTACAATGAGAGATCTGTGAACTTTGGCACAGTGAAGAATTGAGTTTCAGATCATAAAAATAAATAAAAATGTATATTTGAACTAAACTTGTATTTAGTCAGCACCAAAATAGCCTGAGGGTTACACCTGCATACTCAAATTAATTTTCAAGTGCCTCTTTTGCTATGCAGGGTATTTTATGTTACAGTTGTACCATACTTATATAACCTACTTGAAATGTATTTCCCCTTGTTCAGAGCAACAACTTTCTGGAGATGTCTCATAAAGTCAAATTTGGAAAGAAATTAAAGGCAAGAGCCTTCCCCACATACTGCTTCCTGACTACCATACAGAATACCTGCTGAGCAGAGATCAAGCAGGTCTCTGCTGACTCCTAAGCACAGGCTAAAACACATTCAGCTGTTAATAAATGAAGGCTTACATAAAGTCTTTTAATTTCTTCATCAATGAGAGCTCTGTATGACTTACTGTGAAGTGCTTTTAGATGGATCTTCTTGTCAGTATATATACGTGCAGTGCAACACACAGTGGAATAGTAATCACAGACTCAGAGGGGCTAGGCACAAGCACTCAATCTCTCTCCCAAGGGATGTTAAACTACAGTGTTATCACTCCTGACAAATGGGTCTCCTAAAGATGTCTGGCTATTGCAACTATTCCCTTCCTCCCCGTACACACCAGTAGTCTACCCCGGCACTTGGCTACCCTCGTTACTCTCTTTGTTGCAATTCAGCTTTTTACTTCTTGTCCTAAACAACAGGCTGTTCTCTTCCTCACCGAAATCTCTTAGAACCTCCCCTGAAAGTCTCTTCTTGACATGAAATGCAAACATTTCTTCAATTAGTACGCCACGGCAGGTTTTCTGAGCCTCTAACCATTTTCACTGCCTACCTCTGAATTCTCTCCAGTTGACCCAAACCTTTCACAAAAAATTCAGGATAGCAGTCCACCTACAGCCACTTCAAGCCTGAACCAGGCACAGGATGACTTCTAACATCCTGTAGGACAACAATGCTACATAATCTAACACTGGGTTATGTTTGGGAAAACATTACGAACTGATTAAGATATTTTTTTTCCAATACAACTGAAGAGTCATTCTATGAAAACAGGAGTAATACGTATACACGTAACCAAAGACAACGTTCTCACATAAGCAAACGATACAATGCAAATTATTCTGCGCAAAGTATACAATCAGTCCAGGAATCAGCAGTACTAAGTCATTACATCTCAGTCAGGAGATGCACAACTATGTACAAGAATCACAGAATCACAGTAACCAACACTTTTTCATCCTGAAACACCTTTCACAAAGAGCTTTCACCTGGCCATTCTGCTTCTCTGGTGGACTAGATGCTCGGTCTAGTTTTCCTTGACAGAAGGCTTCCAGACCATGGTCAGATAGAAGCTATGAATCACTTAAAATTATGAAGAGCCCCAAACCAGCACAGATTAGTTGTATCAGAAGTAGTCACTTCCATCCTGTGACAATGGTTTTAAAGAGTTCGAGGACAACTGGCTGCACTTCTCCAGCTCAAGGTTGTCTTTTTTACAGGCCTATAACCCAAAACTATAAACCAAAATTCTGTCCTTTGTACTTACCCTTCTCTTTGGTACTCCTCATCCAAATTTGACAAAAGCTGGGACCCAGCCACAGATAGATCAAGTGCAGCTAAAGGAAGATCCCGATAAGCAAAATTAACAAGCTGTACAGGAGCAATGCTTTTTGTCTCCTCTTCCACTTGTTGTGAAATTATCTCAACTTCTGAAACACCACCTTCTATTGTAGGCCTAAATATACAATAAGCAAAATAAAAAGTCAATGACAGACACTGACTGATTTGACTATAAAAAACAATCAATAAGACTAGTGTTGGTAAACAGCTTTGGGACAGGTTTGGTGGCATGAAAGAGAAAAGGCAAACGGACCTGAAAATAATATGACACACCAGTTTTCAGCCACTGTCTCATAGTAACATAGATGTGTTTACAGCATTGATTTTTTTTTTCTGCTAATTCACACTCTTTAGACAACTCACCAAATCCTGCTACTCCTTATCAAAATACCAACTTTTACTTCCAGTAATACTGACAGAATGCTCTTGATGTCACAGTATAATCCTCCTAGAGGTAGGATCCTGTTCCCTTCTATTTACAATCCTCATATGGTACTTACTGAGGATTGGTCATGTTGGAGGATGCAACTGAATCAGCAGTGTTTCCAGTATTTAACTAACGCCAGCTGCTCTGCACAGAAGTTCTAGCCTTCCAAGATGAGGTCTCTGTGAGAAGCAAAACAAAGGTATCTTAAAGACAGTCAAAAGCACTCCAAAGGGTTGCACTAATATTTGATGTCATGTTGCAAGTTTGTCCAATAGTATTATTTCCTCCATGAATCTTTTTCAAAGTGGTTCTATTCCAGGTTAATTCCTCCTTATTATGGAAGCTGTAGTTACAGGGCTTTCACTTATACACACAGACACTTGCTCACATATACACTTGCATAAGAACACAGGTCTTGCTTTAAACCACTGAGTTGTTGAGGAAGATAACCAAGATCATACATAGGGGTGGATTCTGAAAGAAATCTCATGGCTTCTGAAGCACTAATTCTACTGGAAAGTAACATTTTTTTTTTCAATTATGTTTTTGCAAATTAATATATTTGACAGATGAGCATTAGCTTGTCAACTCAAAGTTTGAGGTTTTGTTCTCCATGTTCCAACTTGAAGTCTGTTCCTGACTCTTTTGCTACTTTAGAAAGTGTCTCCCAAGAATTAATTTATGTTGACAAACATCCTAGATGTTTGTCACTAACACATTTGTAAAAGGCACCACATTTCCCTGTAGCAAAATCTCCAATTGTGTGCACCTGGACCAATGCATGGCAACTAGAATGGAAGACAACAAGCTTGTGAGAATGAAATCTACTGATAACACAGGTTTTGGTAGCTTGGAAAAACATAATCCGGACAACACCACATTAGACGTAAAAATTCTTAGAAAAAGGTATCATGAAAGACTTTGTAAAGCTACTGTCAATATTATATGCTAAATGTCTTTTTAAAAAAGTTCAAACAGAAAGAGTAAATGGCAATTTACAGTATTACTGACAATAACACTGAAAAAAATTCATGAGAATGAAAAGTGCTTCTTACACTATACTAGAGTCACTTACAGGCCGAACTGTTAGTATCAGTCAAGTATTCACAGTAGAGACATATATATATAGCAACAGTATGATCCTTAACAATCACCTAATACCAAATAATAAAATGGAACTTACATGTTTTGTAGAGCCATTTTCAGGACTTTATTTTGTCTTGTAACCTTATAATGATGTAAAACGTAGGCAACGCATTTGCAGATTTTCCAGATAAGGTGCCTGAATATGCAAAAATAAAGGGTCTACAGTGATATCACCCTCCTCAGGTAGACTAGTCAGCCAAAAGCAATTTAACTATTCATATGAAGAAAAAGAAAACCCACACATGACCAACTTCACAGAAAAATACACATAGTTTAGAAAAAACACAAACACTCCATAAATCTATAACCTTGCAATACTTCTAAAGTCAGATTAAGAAGCCAACTTTTTTCAGATAAACCTTCCTTGATACATCAGAGACTTGATTCAACACACAATATCAATGAGACTCGTCCCTGGCCTTTATAGTCCTTGAACTATTTATTACGTACCTGAGGCAGCAAAATACTACAACATTTGCCTGAAATTATGCACGTTTAAATCACACACTGAAGAGATTTGGTGAATCTGTACCTTTGACAGCTTTATTATAGCAACTGTCATACCTACCAGCACAACAAAACCAAAATATATCTATCAGCCTGGTTTTGAGATGTTCACTCCCTAACATGTCATTTGGGGTTGACAATTTACAACACATGTCAAAGAAACCCCAACTAATTTTAATGAAAAATTTTACCTAATTGTTCTAAGCACTCAGCCTGAGAAAGTGGTAAAGGCATGAGGTAGTCTGCACCTGTCTTGAGACTGCAGAAACTGAGAATCCTGCTGTATCTGCATTTGCGGACCTGGAGAATAAAAGGTAAATGGGCATACAGCTGATTTAGGACATGGGAGTAAAACTGATAGAAACTGTCCTCAAAGGACAGGCAGACAGATGTAGATATGGGAATTTCTTAACATAGTTAAAAACTCACCATTTATCTGGGAGACAGCACGGGGCTAATACTAACAACCTCCCTCCCAGAGGGAGTTTTGAAAACAAAACCATGACAAAAACCATACAACTAGATTTAAAAAAAAAACAAAAACCCACACAACTTTTTTAGATTAAAGTATCTTTATGTGAGGCCAACAACAATGCCGTTCTTTCACGCAGTACATGAACATGAAATATTTGCCCCTCCACAGACTTTTTTTTAAAGCTGGAAATACATTCATATTCACACAGAATTTTGTTCTACAACTCAACCAGATGTGACCAGTGGCAACACCAACAAGCCAGATCTGCTCCTCTGAACTGGATTTGGCAGCTCTACAGATAAGGTTTGCTCACCACCAGGGCTGAAGGAGCAACTCGCAGGAGGTCAGCAAGCTCTTCGAATCGCTCCACAGGGAGCAGAGTCCAACTTGCCTCAGCTGAACGGATCGTTAACCATGACATAAGGGGCTCAGGAAGGTGAGACGAGTAGCGTGGAAAGAGACCTGAAAGGAGATAAGAGTCAGTCAAGTCTTCAAAGGACTCAGTGGAGCCTTCCTGAGAGAAAAAGTGACAAAAAGTGAGTAATTTCTGGTGCAGATGACTATTGTGTTAGCTGATTTAATGAATTAAAAAGTAGTTAGTATGTACAATGACAGGGCAGCATAAATGAAACTTTCAAAATGGACGTGATAGGTTGTGTATACGTATATCCTAAAGGAACTACTATGATTCATGCTTCTTTCTAGGTGTTATACAACCAACAAATGTCTTGCCATATACTGATATTTTACAGAAACTTAATTCTTTCCATCCACCCCACCTCATCTGTCACATTCAATATTTCCTTAAAAAAACCCCACTTTTTTACAGCAGCATACAACACCTCTAACTTCCACAAGAAATTTCTGCGTGACTGAGTGGTGTGTAAATGCAACAAGGAACTGCAGGGAGATTTTCTTCTTCTGCACTTATCTCCCGCTTGTGTTTCTATAGGCTATAGTGTTTGCTAAGAGTAACGATGTGGCTCTCCTCCCTACCAACAGAGATGGGCAGAGGGCAATCGTTGGGCATTCCATCTGCCACCCAAGTGGAAACTTTTCCGACCAGCCCTTTCCAAACCTATCCCACTCAGTATTTGGTAGACAAAAAGCCTCATCTCTCATGGTCTCATCCAAGGGAATTAGTCAACGGTTCCAGGGTTGGTTTTCTTTGCAGTTATTGGAACTGAGACCAGGCAGCACATGGTGCATGCCGAGTTGCCATGCGAGTATGAGCAATGCCCATTCTGTGAGACTTCAGCAATTCTCTTGGTTCTTGCGGTGTGTTTTCAAGGTGAGATGGCTGTAGAAGGAGCACCGTTTCCCAAGTGAAACAGAGTTAGTTTAAAAAAGAGATACAAGAGACAGAAATGTCACAAGAAGTTTCCAATGCAAACTTTGAAGTGATGTAAAAAAAAAACCATTCACTGGACTGACGGACTAACATACACTTGTATGTACCAAGAGGATAGTGTAATCTGATAGGAACTGTATTTCTGCATCTCGTTTTCTATAAAGTCAAATATAGAGGCTAGTAGCCCAGCACGTGTGGAATTACCGTTCAAATCTCAGCCAAGATGACTCAGCTCTTCATCCCTCTGCAGCAGGTGAAGGAAGCTGCACCCAGTTCACTGAGCTCTTTCTGAGGCAAGACTTTAAAGTGCCTGAAAGTGCTGTACTTGCCTTCCAAGCCCTTCAGCTTTCCTCTGTTCTTTGCACAGGTACTACACACGCCAGTGTTCCTCAAAGCTTTTGCAAGGTACCCTTTGCTTGATTACACTTTCTTTCACCCCCTCCGCTGTGGGCACACTGGAAAAAAACTGCTTCACAGTTCATGGGTTATGCTCAGAATCATGCAAGTTGAAAAGCGGGGTCATGCGCTGTGGTTGAGCAAAGGTTCATGCTGCTGCTTTGCCCAGCAAAAGTCTTGCCTGAGTTAGTTTGTTAATGTTTAGATCAACTTTCTATTGTCAGTCACCACACCTTGGCTACAGCTTGCTAATAAGGAGATAAAGTCCAGCTTAAACAACATAAAGCATAGAACAGAGTTTGGAAAACATATGTTAAAGTGTAGCACGTGTGAGACCATGTTTGGGGTGTGTGTACATACACTCTAAGCCAAAAGGAAAAGAAACAAAACCCCAAGAGCAATGTTAAAAAAAAAAAAGCTCTGTACTCCACTGCCGCATGAAAACCATTACTTTAACCATTGGTTTAAGCACAGTGTTCTTTTATAAAATATGTGCCACAATGTAGTGAGCCCCATTTGGGGTAAGGAGTAGGAAAATGATTTAATTCAAGCCTTTTCGAACTAAGCCTCTGCTAACTTGTATCCCGTTTAGCCGAGTTGAAGTCCAGACCACATGGTTTGGAGCTGTTGCATTTGCTCAGGTTCTGAGGAGTATTACCATGAAGCCATAAGCTGCTGAATGAAATAAGACACAAACATCTGAGTTTACATACTTACTAATAGCTACAAAACAAATTCTGACATGTTGTTCTAACTAAAAATTCCTCCACACAGCCCCCCCCAAGAGCAGCTCAGACACATGGATAAGCTCTCAGTTTACATTCAAACTAAAGATAACAGGCCACACTTGGTGGAAACACTGTGAGCAGCAACACAAGTCTTAAGCATTCTTACCCAGCTTCTGCTCCTTCCTCTGCCCAGGCCGTAGCTATGCACCTACACATAGACCATTACCATGAGCTGCGCCAGGAAACTGATTTAGCATTTCAATAAACGAAACAAAATATATTTTCCCACCCTAAAACGTATCATAGCTTCCCTGATACAGGTCACAATACAGCTCCAAAAATAGTTATGTCAGCAAAACTGAAGGGGTAGACAAGTGCGCTGTGGGCATAGCCATAGAGAAAAAAACCCCACCAGCGTGATGGAGAAATCCTTAACCTCATACATACTCAAACCAAAGATGGTGTGTTGAGCCCTTGCCATTAG